CATGTTCTCAGGGTCATGAGGGGTTCTGTTCTGGGAGTGGAGCCTACTTAAGATCATCTCTGCCTCTCCCTCTGTGCAACCCCCCCACCACATGTGCACATGCACACACAAGCCCTCCCCCAATAAAATAAAATAAAATAAAATAAGATAAGATAAAATAAAATATAAAATAAATAAAATAAAATAAAATAAAATAAAATAAAATAAAATAAAATAAAATAAAATTTCAACCCTGAGGTCATAGGCTAGCATCAGACTGGAAAGCCCCATAAACCACAATTGACACATTCTTGGCTTTCTGGCTTCCTGTTTTAGTTTTTAGTTTTCAGTTTTATTTTTATTTTTGGCCAGTGGAGTTTCCTTATTTTCTTCTAAGCTCCATCATGTCTTTAAGAGAATGTTTGTTATATTTTGTCCAGGATTTTCAGGTGTTTAGAAGTAAAAGGGTTTCAGATTCTCTGGGCTGTCGTATTATAGAATATGTTAACTCTGCCACCAACTCTGTAAAAGTCAACTAATAACGAAGGACAGTTGGAAGAAAGCAGGCAGGGATGAGACCTCCTCCTACCCTAACCCTGCCCCCAGGAGGAAATCACCCTTAAAAAAAGGATTTTACACCACCCTGGAAGGAGCTCTCTACCCTTTCCCACATGATAGATAGATGACAAAAACTGATTGGATGACATATGCAGGGAGAGTTAATCAGATGAAAACAGCCCACCAACAAGCCCATTAAAACCCCTAGGTCTAGGGACACCTGGGTGGCTCAGCGGTTGAGCATCTGCCTTCAGTCCAGGGTGTGATCCAGAGTGGAGTCCTCCATCCGGCTCCCTGCATGGAGCCTGCTTCTCTCTCTGCCTATGTCTCTGCCTCTCTCTTTCTGTGTCTCTCATGAATAAATAAATTAAATCTTTGAAAAAAAACAAAACAAAACAAAAACCCTAGATCTAAACACCAAATTGGCCACCCTTTCAGGTCCCCTCTCATTTTGAGAGCTTTGTACTATCACTTAGTAACTATGGCCAATAGACTTTGCTTTGCTCCCCACCATTTGTCATCTGGTCTACCTCTTAGTTCCTCCAAGCAGCATCAGCATGAGCCATGGGCACTCAAGGAAAAGGAATCCTGTAACACTGAGGCCTCTCACACTATATTGGTGTTGAGAGAAGTTAGTATGCAGGTCTCTAGACTTTCTGACCTATTCATAGGAGGGAGATGTTATGCGTGGTGAAGTATATTTGACTTAAATATAACCAAGTCAATGGTATCGTGAGATAATTTGAACTCCGGCTATTATAAAACAAACAAGTTTTGGATGTACCAAAGGCTAATGATACATGGGAAAGAATAATTAAAAAGCACCTCACTAATTGAGGAAACTGTAATTTATTAAGTCTAGATGACTTAATTCCTACGGTAGTGTTACAGATGCTGTTACCCATCACTAAATTCCCTTAGTGTAGGAATGCTTCCTGGGAAGGCTACACATCCCCTCTTGGCCATAGGACAGGGGTTTGGCTCACTTAGGGGAAGTGCCAGAAAGTGATTTGGGGCCACTTTTATCTCTTTTCTCTTTTTCATGATAATCTTCCAGTGGATTAGAAGCAGGGAACACCTACTGCTGATTTCTATGGATATGTAGAAAAAAAAATCCTTTCTTCTTTTAACCCACTGGGTCTTCAGGCTCTTTGTAAAGCACAGTTGGCCTATCTTGGCTGATCCAGTTACCACAGACCCTCAGGTATGTTGCTGGGTACTGAAGATACAGTGAGCAGAGTAAATGGAGTCTTTCCCTTCATGGAATTTGGGTTCTGATCTAGGGCACAGAGATGAACCAAATAGAAAAATTAACATAGAAGTAAAACTGAGATAAAAGTTTTGAAGGAAACAAATTTTGGGCCAAATTAAAATGCATTTCTTTAAGTGGTGATACCCCGCCTATTTCTAGAAAAACCAGAGGGTATTTACAAAATCAAACACAATGCACAATTTAGACCAGAGATACATTAATATAACAGAGGAACCAATGTGACAGGGCCCACAAGATAAATCAATTAGGGCAGTAGGGCACAATACTTTCTACTTCTCCAGAGCTGGGACAAAAAAGGAAATATTTGAATAATATGATTCTTACTGCTTGACAGCAGGACACAGGCCAACTCTTTGAGGAACTGAAATTTTTCCTGCCCTGAATCAAGAAGCAGTTTATTAACTGGGTCTTCCATGAGACATATTTCACAACTTAATAGGCGTAACTCTAATTTTGTAAAAGTCACAGGGACATTGTCTAAGTGCATGTTCCTTGTATATACCATCTATAAAAACTGAAGAGCAGAAAAGTCCTTTTTTTTTTTTTTTTTTTTTAGGTTCAAGAGTGCTTTAATGGGGAGCGCTCCTGGGCGAGGTTCCATGACGCCGAGAGGTGGCCTGAGTCAGGGAAGTCACGCGAGGTTGGGGACTGTGGGGGTTTTTAAGCCTTCTTGGTTCCGACTCTGGATCCGGGTGGGTCCCTTGCCAAATTAGACAAGGGAACACCATCAGAGCAGAAAAGTCTTGATTAAGGGAAGCCACTTGTGCAAGGAACTTACATAATATGAGCCAGTTTGGTTACTTAGTGCTGTCCTGCCCACTGGAAGCTGGCGAGTGCTCTTGGAGGGACAGCATTACCTGACCCTTGGGCCCTAGATATCAGAGGCCTCCTGGGATCCTTTGGGAAGGGCTGTTTTTAAACTGGTTTATGGTTGGGTCTTTCAAGCTGGACCTTAAATTATGCTATGTGGTGGCAGAAGAACCCATCTCTTTATTTTAGAGGCCAGGAGGAGACAAAATTGCCTACATGTTGTCAACAGTCAGGAGCCTGATTTCTTTCTCTTGTTACCCATCAGTCACACAGAGTCCTGTGGGAGGGGTCAGTATTTTCCTCAAAAAAGAGCATTACATTTCCTCAGGTACCTTAATAGGTTAGTTAAAAGATCAGAATTTAGCATCATAAAGTATACAGAGTATTATCTGGGTCTGAAAAATGTAAGGGCTTTTGTTTTAGCCAAATGAGAACCTGCTGGGCGTGCTGGGCCAGAGGTGGAGCATTAATTGGAGGGATAGTAAACACTTGAGTCTAAATCAGTGCTGATTGTAGGAGAAAAGGCCTGCCACAGTCAAGGTCATTTCACTTCCTCCTTGGAACACTGACTAGACTGTGGGCCCAGGTGACACCCTAGACACGAGCACAGGACATTTGTCAGAGCCTCGTTTGATTTCTATAGCAGGTGCACATCTCCACCCATGAACATGGGTCTGAGAAGTGTATCTTTTGTGGAATTTCTAGAACCAAATATATTTAATGTATTTTTTTTGTTGAATCTCCATCCTGCTGAGTGGCAGAAGCTAAATCTCAGCCCCAGGATCTCCTCCTCCCCCACCATCCTGCATCCTGCAGGGAGTAGGAGAATATTTCTGTTGTCTCAGTGCATCAGCTAGGGGAACATCAGGTATCAGGTATTAGGGCCAGGTTGTCATTGTGCATCTGAGCTGGCTTTGGCAGAGATATCCTTGATCCCTCTGGGCTCAGGTCTCTGGTCCACCTAAGCCTAGGGATCTGTACAACATTTGTGCCTGTCACTAACAAAAACAGTATTATGCACTTAACATTGGTTAAGAGAGTAGATCTCATGTGAAGTAAGTATTCTTAACACACACATACACACACACATACACAACAGGATGCAATGAAACTTTCAGAGGTGATGGATACTTCTATTACCTCAGTTGTGATGGTTTCATGTGTATAGTCATATGTCCAAACTCATCAAATTATATGTGTAAAATATGTGCAGGTTTTTGCATATCAGCTCTACCTTGATAAAGCTGTTTAAAAAAAGAATATAATATGTGACAGATCTAAATGCTTTTTAATATTAACTTATTTCACCATCAGAATAACCCAGTGAGATGGGTACCACCATTCTGCCCATTTTATAGATGAGAGAACCAAGACACACAGAGTAACAGGTAATACTCCATTTCACCCAACTAGTAAGTGCTGGAGTAGTCTGACTTCAAAACCTAAACCCTTAATCCCAGCTGTGTGGCTCTCCTGGTCTCCATGGCTGCTCCTCTTCCTTAGCCACTCCATTTTACCTGGTGCTCCTGGGAGGTCTACCTAGGCTTTCTTTTTCTTATGCTGAATGCTCTCACCAGGGGTCTCTTTTTAGGTCACAGGGTCCCCAGCCAGCAGCAGAGGCAGATGACTTCCAGACCTGTCTCCTGGGTTCATTATGCTTCCCACAGCCTCAGGCTCAAACTTTCAGCTCTCTTAGCTAGCTCTGTCTGGATGTCCCTAGGCACCTACTGCTCTGTATGAAAAAGACTAAATGCATCATTGTCTTTCCCCACGATGAGACTTCTGTGTCCCTCGTGTCTCACTTGAAGCCTGTTCACGCTGGGACACTAGGAGCCACCTCATCCTCTGGTATATCTAATCACCATGTTTGGGGAATTTCCTTGTCCCCTAAACTATTGCTTTGCTAGGGGCCTTAGCATTTCTTACTTTGGCCTCAGAAAAGTCCTCCTAAGTGGACTGTCTGCTTCCAACCTAGTTCTCTGGCATCTTCCTTTAAACCACAAAAGTGTTTTCTCTAAAACACAGTCTTTGTTACGTGTTTGTATAAGTTCTTCAAGGGTTTCCCCATCATTTATATAAGTGTTTCTTAAAAAATGCAGTTATTGGGCACCTGGATGGCTCATTGGTTGAGTGTCTGCCTTTGGCTCAGGCCTTGATCCCAAGGTCCAGGGATCGAATCCCTCTGCCTATGTCTCTGCCTCTCTTTCTGTGTCTCTCATGAATAAATAAATAAAATATTAAAAAAAATAATGTGGTTCTTGGGCAAATGCATCAGCACCACCTGAACATTTGTTAAAATGGAGGATTTCTGGCCCTTTCCCAGACCTATTAAACCTATCGAGGTTTTTTTTGTTTGTTTGTTTTTACTTTTTATTTTTTTGAGAGAGAAGAAGAGAGAGCCCAGGGAGGAGGGGCAGAGGGAGAGGGAGAGAGAATCCTAAGCAGATGCCAGGCTCAGCACAGCAGCTCGCATACCACCTCCAGCTGAAATCAAGAGCTTGCTACTCTACCTACTGTGCCACCAGGCACCCCAGGGTATGTGTACTCTAATGATGCTACCAGGGTGATTCTAATATGCTGCCTGAATGAGATCTAAGTATCCTAAAAGGATGGGAATGTTCTGATTCCTACTCCTGTCTCCAGGCTTATCTCTTATTAATCTCTCTGAGTTCCCCCAAACATCTAACTGCTTTTAGGTTCTCCCCAACCCCAGGACACATAACTCACTTGCCTTTCCTCTGTCGCCACTGCCCAGAGTGCCTTCTCCTTTCTTAGTGGTGTTCACTGCTCCTTGCGTTGCCCTCCTAGGTGTCCTGTCCTCTAGTTATGCATCACCACCCTCTCCCCTCCCCAGGCTCATCACCTGCAGCTCCCCTGTGCTTCCCTAATGCTCCCCTAGTACATCCTCACCCATCCTTAGGGTATCATCCTGGTGTCACATCCCCACCTCCCCTTGTAGCTTGCCCGCATCATGATAGCAGACCCCACCACACACAACACATCTTTCTGTTTCCAGGACTGGACATAGTATTTGATCCACAGCAGATGATCAACAAATATTTGTTGAAGAAACACATGAGTGACTATAAGGCATTACTGCCATGCAACAGAGGGCATTGACAGTTGAGATATCACTGAATCACTACAGATTCTGGTTGGAGGTGTCAAGGAGGTGTCACAGGGGAGGGGACATTTCATTAAGGCCTTATGAGAAAAGAATGAGTAGTTTTCCAGGTGGAGTAAAGAGGAAAGGGCATTGTTGGCAGAGGAAAACTTCAGGAAGACTTGGGCAGCTAGTTGTGGCTGCACAGGGTGGGGTGGCCGAAGGGGAGGTGTAGTCGGGGGTGGGGGCAGTGCCGGGAGGGGAGGGCAGTGGGCAGCAGCGGATGAGCCCAATGAGCTGGATCAGCCCAAGACAGCTCCAGCTCACAGCTAGACCAGGGGGCAGTGTCAACAGTGCCTCCTTAAGGAAGGCTCTGTGTGGCCAGAGGACCCCAACTGAGAAACCTAGGGGAGACAGTGCCACCTACTGTGCCAAATTGGTTCCCCAGGCCTTTGCAGGGGAAGAAGCTAAGTCTCTCATCATCTAGTCAACACAATGGGAGTTTTAAATAGATATGTCTCATAGAATTAGAAGATCCCCACATGTGACATGGAACACATTCAACAAATAATGGGCATTATTCTAACTTGTGATATTTTCTTGCCATCAAGCATGTACCAAAAGGTCCTATATTTTATTATTTTATGGAATGTATCTTACTTGCTTATATGATTTCCCCTTTATCTTTCTTGATATTTTCATCCTAAAGTTATATAAGTATCTGAGGCTTCATTGCTGCATCTCCTTTTAAAAACCTCCATTCACCGTTGAGATTTTTATTTCAATATAACAGCGACATACCAAGAATTATACCACAATTATTGGTAAAGTTAATTGGAACCTAGCTCTCTCAGTATTTCTTGTTTTTGTGTGTGTGTTTTTTTAAAGATTGTATTCATTTATTTGAGAGAGAGAGCAAGAGGGAACATGAGCAGGGGGAGAAGCAGATAGAGAGGCAGACTCTCCACTCATTAGGGAGCCTAATGTGGGGCTCCATCCCAGGATCTGGGATCCTGACCTGAGCTGAAGGCAGACCCTTAACCAACTGAGCCACCCAGGTGCCCCAGTATTTCTTGTAATCCCCAGTTAGAAGTGTTATAGTCTGTATAGTATCTGGCACAGTTCTGAGTGCACTCAGAACTGTGAGTTTCAATTTTCAGAAAGAGCTGTGCTTTCAATTAATTGATCTTGTGATCCACAAATGTTGGACAGTGCTACTTCAATTAAAGGCTGCCTTCTTCCACAATTTCAGAGTTAAGTCCTCAAGACTATTCTGGTTGGAAGAACAGGCAACTGTGCAATTTACTCACTGTCCAAGCCTTTCCACAGAATCAAAAGCCATAGTGGCTCAGAGAAACTCCAGGTGGAGGCACTGGCTCCTCTACGCTCAGACTCCAAAATTTACAAGGAGTCTGAAACCAAGACTTTCAGTCTCATACCAAGACAGGTTGAAACTGCTCTAAAGCCAACCACTTGATCACTTTATTCTTGCATTCCTCCTGCTTTTCCACACAGAGGTGGGCCACATGCTTAACTCAAATTCAGGAAAACTCCCATCAGTTAGCAGTTGAGGAGCATCCCACACTTTGGGGAAGTGTTGTCATGGGAGCTGATGAGGTCACTCAAGGGTGTGATATAGAGCAGTGCTCTTTAAACTTTAGGGAACTTAGAATCACCTGGAGAGCTTGCTAAAACACAGATTAAGGGCCTCATCTCCAAAATTTCAGTAGGACTGTGACAGGGACCATAACTTTGCATTTAGGATTGTAAGATTTAACAAATTAAAAAAAATGCAAGATGCCTAATAAAACTTGAATTTCAGATAAACAACAATTTTTTAAAAGGATAAGTATATCCCCAAAGTACATGAGACATACTCACCCTACATATTTTTTATCATAAAATTTACACTATCTGAAACTCCAGTTGAACTGGGTATCCTTAATTCCATCTGGCAACATAACTTGCATTTCTAACAAGGGCCCTGGGGATGAGGATATTCCTGATTTGGAGGCCACAGTTGGAGCCATAGGTATAGACTAACCTGACTGCAGAGCCCTAGGGAACACCAACATATAACCAACAAAAAAATCTGAGCAGGAATGTAAGCAAGGCAGCAGAATTAGCAGTATTTTCTCGAAACCCAAAGGAGAAAAAACTTTTAAAGACACAAAGTGACCAGCAGAGTCACCTGTCAAAGAGATTTTGGGGGACTCTGATGACTGAAAAAAAGAAATTACATTTGGCAACAAGGAGGCCTTTGGGAATCTTCATCAAAGCATTTTCAGGGCAGTGATGGGGCAAGAGCCAGCTGGCAGTGATCAACAGCAAGGGGTGTCAGGGTGGACATGACTGTTTGCATATGATTACCTGCAGGGCCTTCTTTGTCAAATAGAATAAAGGGGGATGGAGGGGCTTTTGGAGGTATTTTTTATGAAGGGAGATGGTGACTATTTTTTATGGCCTTAGAAGAAGTCAGTATAAGGAACACCTGAGATTTCAGAAGCTATCGAAGAACAAATGGGGCACAGGTCTGAGAGATGGCCAGCTGGGGAAGCAGAATGAAGATGGAAGTTGGGAGAAAAGCAAGGAGGGTAGTGGCATCCCAGCCTGGGGCAGATGTCAGTTTTGGCCCCAAAAGGAGAAAGAGCATCTGCTTTGAGAAATCTCACTGACATTGATGGTTACCATTGCAAAGCAGAAAACCTGTGTGTGTGTGTGTGTGTGTGTGTGTGTGTGTGTGTGTGTGTAGAGGCGTTGAGCACTATTCTAAAACATTTTGTGTGCTTAAATTTTTTTTTTGTGGTAACTTATTCTTTGATCCCTTCTTTCATTTGTTTTCATGGGGCCATTTTCACAATTTCCCCAAATTGTTTTTTCCTTCCTTAGGGCTTGCTTTCTCTTGTGGAAAAAGCCATTTTAATGTGCATTTTGGGGCTTCAGGTTCTGATTTAGTTTGTACCTCATGCATTTCTTTCCAGGACTGTGCTTCACTGGCTGTGCTTTATTGGTGAATGTCCCCACCCGGCCTCACTGCATCGCCTCTGATACTGTCACCCCTACCTTCCCACTGATTTCTGCGTTAACTGTCATGAGCACATGATGAAGGTGTACACGCATGGTGTGTCTTTCCACAATATCAACTTTATTCAATCATAAAGCAAAGTAAAATGACAATTATAACGCAGGTCCAGGGTTCCAAAGTCAAGGACATTTCACCATGTGATTAAACTTGGCTTCTTACACAGCACACAGAGCAGGACAGAAAGCAAGCCACACAACAGTGAAGGTAACAGAAGTTAGTGTACCAAATGCAAAGTCAGTCTGTGGGCGCACAGCTGAGCTCAGGCCTTGGCTGGTCTGGGTCAGCTCTCATCACTTAACTGCTTCTTATGCTCAAGTAGAGAGGATCTTGGTTCTGTTCCGAGATTCATCGGGCAGAGCTTTTGGTGACAGTTGCCTTTATTAAGTGGTCAGACATAGAGGGGTCAGGTCTGAAGAGTCCGACAGTTTGCTGCCAAAATCCTTCCATTTTTAAAGGCATTTAATGGCTTTCCCATCCCTACAGACCTCCTGTACTCCTGCTCGTTACCCATTCTGGGGCATCTGCTGATGCTGGTGCTGGTAAGTATCTCCTAGCTACAGTACTTTACCTGCTTGTGCCGTTGCTTGACACAGGCTCCTGCTTGACATGAGGGATTCCATTTTGCTCTTTACACTAAGTAATAGAACAAATTGGTGTTATACATTCAATAACCCAAATCTGACTATTAAAGCACTGTTTTACTCTATCCTGTTAACATGATAGAGGTCAGAGTTTCTCAAATTGCAGTTTCAGCGGCATCTGCCACAATGTTAGTTGTCAGGGAGCATCTGGAAGCTGAATCCAGGAGTCTTTTCTGAGCCAGAGAGAATCATTTTGAGAAATCCTGGAAGGAATGGGAAGGCTCTGAGGTAGAGCCACTATACTTCCTCTCCTCTACTTTGACTGGCTTACTTTTTCTCTGCTGGGCTCAACATGGACTATGTATCTCTTGGCCCAGAGGACTTGGAGGTTGGTCAATGGAAAAAAAGAACCAGAAACCAGCAAAGGAGAGGGGGTATTCCTGTGAGGTTTCCTGGCAGCTTCTCCAGTACCCTCCACCCCCATGCTTCCTACCTCCGTGAGGAAAGGTTAGGAGGTTTGATGTGAACATACATATCTTATCCTCACTGTTATAAATGTTAACTCCAGAATGCACCCTGCTTTATTCTTTTTCCATTTGCATTTGACTTAACTATGTGTATTTAGCACATTGGAGGTTGATGCTTAATTTTAAAATTGGCTGTATTATCATTTAATAACATTTATTCAGTGTATATTATTTACATTATATTATTAAATTATTATTTAACACATGATATTCATTAAATATTATTTAGTAAATAACATTAATATTACTGGTAATAACATTTATTAAAAGTTATTTAATAAATAGTAAATATTAATATGAATTTAAAATATAAAAATGACTTAATTTTGAAATGCATAATCTGTGTCCACACGTTGAGCCTGTCCTTGTCATGACCAGTGTCCATGGATCTTTCTTTCCTGTAAATGTCTGAGCAGAGAGTTACGCCTGCTGGGGTCAACCACAGTCTAGTGGGCATGAGCAATTTCTGTTCCAGCCCTCTCCCCAGGGGCATTTGGGGAAACCAAATGTCAGAATTACATAAAATCACAAACCAATACTATCACTCACATCCCTCTGCCTTCTTTTTTTTTATTATTTTTATTTATTTTTTTAAAGATTTTATTTATTTATTTATTCATGATCGTCACACAGAGAGAGACAGAGAGGCAGAGACACACCTCTGCCTTCTTTTGTAAGTATCTCGGTGGTGCTTACTTTGAAATGGGTGAACTTCCGCAGACCAGAAATAGAAGGGAGCATGACTTGCCTGGACAGAAAGAGCTGATGATAATTTGATGTCCTTTGTTATCTAGGGAGGTATGATAATGCATTGAATTAACATTTCTGTATTGGATTTTTGAGGCAGTGTGTTTTGCTCTACTGGCAACTCACTATCTGTTGTGAATGAGGTTCCAGGATACAGTTCCAAACTGTGTAATTCTGAGAAAAGAATTTCCAGGATGGGGTTTTTGTGTGCCTCTCTTGTCCCTGGTTAACATAGCCTGCTTATTATAAAGAAGGTGAGAACTTGTCATTCAAATGTCTCAGTGGAATAGATGGAGCACTTGCACATTGATAAATGGTTGAGACTGAATGCTTCCAAACTAATGTTGACCTCAGGGGTGGGGTGGAGGGGACATCAAGTTCTTTAAACCAGAGCAATCTTCCTGTCCATTAAAAATAATTGGAAGTTTATTTACCACTTTCAAGAAATTTTTTCAGTTTCTCTTTCTAACTCATCTAATTTATCTTTGATTCACACCTAGTAAAGCTTACCTGTGTGGGGGACCTGGTACACTCATGGCTAGATTATTCAGGCCAAAACCACAGCCTGATGTTGATACCAGGTTGGGGCACCTGAGAACTGAGACTAGGGTAAAGTTCTTTCTCTTTTCAGCTCAGAAGGACAGGAAGTTGAGATATCTCCATCTCAAAACTGGGTTCAGCAAAGCATGCTATTTTAGTTCTGTAGTTACTTATTATACTTATTTATTTTGTGGAAAGATAGATCAAGGTCATTGAGCTCCATAGATAGGTCAGGTGTAAAGAAATGGAAAGAAAAAAACAATTATATCTGCATCATTGTGTGTCATAGTAATGCATGACATTATAATAATAATATGGTTAATAAAAATTAAACAAAATTTAATAAAACTAAAACATTTGCAAAAATTAGGCACCTATTAAATTGACCAGCGATGTGATGTTTCATTTTCTGAATTTGTTCTTTAGTTTAGAAATAACTAACAATTAAAAAAGAAGAGGCACCCAGCTGGCTCAGTGGGTGAAGTGTGCAGCTCTGTCTCAGGTCCGTGAATTTGAGCCCCACCTTGGGTGTAGACCCTACTTGAAACAAAAAAAGAAAAAAATATTTTAATTTTAAATCACTACCATGAAGTGAAATATTTCATGCATAAGTTAAAATTTGCAGTCACCAAACAAAAACAGTACACCTGAAGTACACCTCACAGTTCGCACTGTTTTGTGCTATTTCAAAATTAACCACAAATAACAACTCTAGGCACTTACACAGAATGAAAGAATTGAAGTAATTCCATTTCTGTTTCTTTTCTGTACTATCATAGTTTACTTGGAATCTGCTGTTTCAATGCAGGTATGTGTGGTTCCACTGGAGCTAGAGACACAAACTGCTTGGAGCAGGGTGGGAGGGAAGTTGGAAGATTCTAAAGCATATGAACTATTCTTGAAATGGATTTCTCATGTGGGAGGAGGTAATAGAGGAGTTCTTTGAATTAATTTCCAAGTAAAATACTGTGTTATTAGAGGATAAGTAATAAAACTGTGCTAATTTGAAATTTCCACATATATGATTATTATTTTTTAAAGATTTTTATTTATCTATTTATTGGAAAGAGAGAGAACTCTGGTGCCTGTGTGCAAGCAAAATCTCGTGAGCTGGGAGAAGGAGGGGGGCAGAGGGAGAGGGAGAAGCAGACTCCCTACTGAGCAGGGAGCCCGATGTAGGGCTCCAACCCAGGATTCTGGGATCGTGACCTGAGCTGAAGGCAGCCACTTAACTGACTAAGCCACCCAGGTACCCCACTTGTATTTTTAAAATTCAACCATAATCACACCAATTATTTAGAATTTAGACCACTAATAAAATGTTTTTCAGGAAGGAATATTCTATCACTGGGTTGTTTAGAATAGCTAAACAATCAGCTGGTGGATGGTGACAATAAAAACCAGGCTGACTTTAAGTTCATTTTATTGCTTTCTGATAACTCCTTTACGGTTAGTACACTTCTTATTGTCAGCACCTGAGGCTAAAGAGATTGAAGTGAACATGTGGCACTTCTAAAAAGTCTGCTTATAGGCAACCAACTCAGGAGGAATACTCTTTCTTGCTCTCTTCCTCATCTCTGCAGTGTGTTAGGTTTGGACTTGATAGGTAGAGCCCTAGCACCTTCTTTCATCTGAGGGGAACTTGAGGATGGAAGCTAGTGATTGGGTAGGGCAGAAAAATTGGGAATCCAGGTCCCTGATTGTCTGGACAATACTAAGGTAGCTCCTGATGAGTCATGCCTTATAGAATCCCCTCTCATTGAATTAGGATAAAACCCATGATGTACTTCTTCTGATCAATGGAATATGGCAAAGGAGATGGGATATCATTCCCATGATTACATTTCATTATATGGCAAGGGTGAAAGAATTTTGTAGATGTAATTAAGGTCCCTAATCAGTTGACCTTGAGTTCATCAGAAGGGAGATTATTCTGGGTAGACTTCCCCTAATCAGATGAATCTCTAAAAGAGGGCCTATGCCTTTCCTGAATTCAGAGACTCCAAGCAGCAGAGACTCTTTTTCTCTGTTGCTGACCTTGAAAAAAGTAATGCTCCAGGAATTTTATAGCCACAAAGTAATGAATTCTGCGAACAATTGAATTCTGAGGGAGCTTGGGAGTGAGTTTCCCTTCTCATCTCCCAGTGAAGATGCAACCTAGCCGACACCTTGATTTCAGCCTTATGAGGCCTCCCAGCTAAGCCAAAGCCAGAATCTTCACTCACAGAAACTGTGAGATAATAAAAATTTGTTTAAAGCTGTTACATTAGTGCTAATTTGTTATGTAGTATAGAACACTAATACATTGATGTCCATGTTGTCACTATAACAGCTCAGGAATGCCTAGCTGACCTCCAGAGTTCTTTTATGTGAGCAAGAATTAAATTTCTCACTTCTTTAAACCATTATAAGTTTAGGTTTTCATCTGTAGGCAGCTGACCCTGACCTTAACTGATTCATGGAGTAATGAAGAAGGGTTTATAGAAGATGAGTCATTTGTGGTTGATCTTAAAAGTGGATACAATTTCAGAAGGTGGAAACTGGGGTGTCTAGAGGTAGAAAATAATTTTCATGTAGCAGAGTGAATAAGGATAAAAAGTAGGTGTTTTGAAGAAATAAAGAATAATTTGGTTTCACTAGATTGAATGAGATGAGGCTAGAAAGGTAGAGTAGAGCCAAATCACAAAGCCAGAAGAGCTTGGAGATAGTTTTTCAAGCCATGGAGAGCATTGGAGATTTTCTGACCAGGGTGGTAGCATGAGCAGAACTATGCCTTATTTTAGAAATGCAGGATGAGTCAGTTCTCTTTAGGTTGCAGAAACATCTCAAAGTAGATTTTGTTTCAAAGAGATTTATGGGAAGAGAAACTGGGGAAGAGAAACAGGAACTTAGAACAGGAGCCAGGGACCTCTGCAACCAGAACAAGACTCATGCCTTAAAGGTTATTTGTCTTGATATTTGACATCATTCTCTGCTGTAAGAAGCTTCTTGTGACTGGAGCACTACCCCTTAGAGTTGTCCACCTAGGAGACAGAGGGACTTCCCTTCCAACTCTGGTTGAATATATCTCTGCTGGAAGCTGCACTTTGAATGGACAACCTTGGAATAATCCCAAAGGCAAAGGGGCAGGATATGATGATTGGCCTGTGTGTGTGTGTCTGTGTGTGTGTGGTGCCTGCTACTAGAAAAATGAGCCTGGGAATCAAAACAAAATGGTTATGTAAGTGCAATTTGAATTTCACAATTCTCTTTTCCTATCAGGGTCTCAAGGACAAATGATATACTCATGATTATACTCTACCAGGGGAGTAAAATTTGAGTTGAATTTATATTTAATTTATTTAGGTATAAAGGTATGCACAAATGATTACTTATAATTTTACCAATGATTTCTCCATACCTCACTCAATGACAACCAATGTCAACCAACGAATTAAAATTAATTTTCATCAGAAAAGTTTTTAATGCTCAATTATTAATTTATTGTATGTCCAAAGGGGATAACATACTGTGTTATGCTTATCCATCACTGAAAGGAAAGAGAATTTCAGAATAGATATTTAAATGTACTTGCAGGGCATCTGGGTGGCTCAGTCAGTTGAGTGTCTGACTATTTGGCTCAGGTCATAATCTCAGGCCCTGTGTTGGGCTACACAATCAGTGAGGCGTCTGCTTGAGGATTCTCTCCCTCTGCCCCTCAAATAAGGAAATAAATCTTTATTTTTTTAAAAGGATTTTATTTATTTGCTTGAGAGAGAGAGAGAGAGAGAGAGAGCAAGTGAGCACATGCATACACACAGAGGGAGAGAGAGAAGCAGACTCCCTGCTGAGCAGGGAGCCCAATGTGGGGCTCAATTCTAGGACCTCAGGATCATGACCTGAGCTGAAATCAAGAATTGGATGCTTAACTGACTGAGCCACCCAGGCACCCCAAGAAAGAAATCTTTTTTGAAAATGTACTTTTAGTTTCTTTGAATAATCTCAGTTAAATGCTTACTCATTGCTTAAGAAGCAATATTCTTTTGCTCAAATGTACTAGTAGATAATTGTTAAATAAAAACTGAAGTCATCTAAAAAGTGCACTATTTTAATTTGCACCTTTTTTCTAACTTCCTTTAAGGTACCTGTAATATGTTTGGAAAATTTAAGATCTTTTCTCTTTTTTTTTTTTTTTAAGTAAGCTTCATGCCCAGTGTGGGACTTGAACTCATGGCCCTGAGATTAAGACCTGACCTAAGATCAAGAGCCTGACATGTAACTGACTGAGCAACCCAGGCACCCTTAGGGTCTTTTTTCTAAATTCTTGGATATATTGATCATACTTAGGTTTTATCTGGAAATATTCAAGCATATAAAGTAGACTCAAATATTTAATTGATATGATGATAAACATCCATCTGAGGAATCAAAGCGGCCAGCATTTAAAATGCCTGAAATAGTGAGAATGGGGAAAATTAATAAGGCAGGAAACAACAAATGTTGGAGAGGATGTGGAGAAAAGGGAACCCTCTTACACTGTTGGTGGGAATGTGAACTGGTGCAGCCACTCTGGAAAACTGTGTGGAGGTTCCTCAAAGAATTAAAAATAGACCTGCCCTACGACCCAGCAATTGCACTGTTAGGGATTTACCCCGAAGATTCAGATGCAATGAAACACCGGGACACCTGCACCCCGATGTTTCTAGCAGCCATGTCCACAATAGCCAAACTGTGGAAGGAGCCTCGGTGCCCATTGAAAGATGAATGGATAAAGAAGATGTGGTTTATGTATACAATGGAATATTACTCAGCCATTAGAAACAACAAATACCCACCATTTGCTTCAACGTGGATGGAACTGGAGGGTATTATGCTGAGTGAAGTAAGTCAATCGGAGAAGGACAAACAGTGTATGTTCTCACTCATTTGGGGAATATGAATAATAGTGAAGGGGAATATAAGGGAAGGGAGAAGAAATGTGTGGGAGATATCAGAAAGGGACACAGAACATAAAGACTTCTAACTCTGGGAAATGAACTAGGGGTGGTGGAAGGGGAGGAGGGCGGGGGGTGGGGGTGAATGGGTGACGGGCACGGAGGGGGACACTTGACGGGATGAGCACTGGGTGTTATTCTGTATGTTGGTAAATTGAACACCAATAAAAATTAATTTATAATAAAAAAAAATAAAATAAAATGCCTGAAATACAAAATGCATTTTCCAAAATGTGGCTGAACGACTTTATGGAACACTTTCTGGTCAGCTACTTGGTGGGTGCATCTGACACTTTTTACCACTAGGTGCTACTCTTCCTCCATCACATATGCATCTCCAGTCTCAAAAGCAAGGTAGAAGCAAAACCAACTTAGTTATTTCCTGACTACTGTTTCAACACAAGCTAAAACTTCACCTTGCATATTTACTCATCATTGTAACAATACAGTATTTTGAAAGTAGTTGGCTAAGCATTCAATATTTTGTAGAAAGTAAAGCTTATACCAGCTTTCTGTGTATCATCCCACACCACATTTCAGAAAACTACAGACTATCAATAGCAGACTATCTGGTTGCTATTAATTCATATTAATGAAAGGAAGCCATAGGGTTATAGTTTAATTAAAAATACAGTTGACATGCCCATGATTTCTCCCTGAAAAGGTGGCATATTATAGTATCTAAACAATTTTCCATGTGAGACAAAAAATTTCCACAAAATTTTAAGTTATTAGTTATGTATTACAAATCACCCGAAGGCATTATTATTGATATACTATATATATGTGAAGGAGGAAAATGTATGGAATCTGTTTATAGCCTCATGCTAAATGTCTTGAGATAGATGATAAGCAGCTGATAGGGATCCATGTTTGTTTAGCTTTTCTCGAACGATTTCTCCCACTCAGTGCTTGTGGATAGACACATAGTAAACATTTTTGAAGATAAAAAGAACATAAACCACCCTCATATTTATGTCCACTGGGCCTTTTTGAGAAAAGATTTTATCAAGGCATCGGGTTTAAAATTCAGCAAGTCTAAATATTAAAATTTAAAAGTTTTCTCTCCTCAGGGGATAAAAAGAATTTGAGGTGAAAAAAAATTAAAAGCTAAATAAATTGTGATTAAAAAAAACAAAACTAAGCCAACGGGGGCAAATTAGATACTTGGAACATATTTATTCACTTCTTCCCTCAGACTTACCCATCCAGTTTAGTCGTTCATTCACTGACTCATTCATTCACTGAACAAACTTTTATTGAGGAAGCTTATGTGTCTCAGATACAAAAATAAAATAGAATGGACTCTTAAGTTGTGAAGGCTTATAGTTCAGGGTGAAATGGGGCTGACAAGGAAGAGGAGAGTCAGATTTGTATATAGAGAATTGGTGTAGTGATAGCTCATGGGATCCTCTTTCATTTGAGCATGATGACAGATACGAATATAAGAATCCTTTGGTGACTTTAACATGCCTTGAAACTAGGTAGACAAAAATGTTCCACCAGCTGGATAGATGTATTCTTGAACCTGTTGGTGGCTTTGCTGTCCATTTCCTGGTAGTCTTCCAGGTAGGCACTTTTCTGCCACTGTGGTGGATGTGGCCGCATGATTGAGTTTTGGCCAAAGAGATTGATGTGAAAGTGTTGGGTGGGACTTGTGGCACAGGTGAGTTTTCTGGTGCTGCCTGCCTTCGTCCGGGTTACCAGCGCATGTCACCATCGGGAGGGGGGCGGGTGATGCTACTCCTCATTGTACATCGTAATTGGGTCATTGGAAAAATAACCAACATCAGTTTTTGTTTTACTCCTATCTCTTGAGTCTAGGTTCCCTGTTAAGGAAGTATTTTGATTACAGTAATAAGAATTTTCTTTTTGTTCTAACTTTGGAGATGGGATATTAGTGTTTAGCCAGACAGAAATAGACACCAGTAACATGATGAGCAAATCAAGCAATTCAACCCTTTTCACACCAGCAATAGTATAAGTCACCCAAAAAGGTTGCTTTTGAAGGGCGAAAGAGAATTGAAGTGAAAAGAATATTGATTAATTCAGGGGAAGCTGAAAAGGCTCTCTGTTCTTCTGGTAGACCCGAGGTGGCAGGCTCCAGGCGTGTGGTGTTAATAAAGGGGGCTAGAGACACACTGAGAGACAGCAAAGGCGAGAGGTGGGAAATGATCTTTCCATTCTTCCCTCTTGGTTAGAAACCCCATTATATGCTCTCTTAGCTCCCTGAACTCCTCCTTTGAGGAGAAAAGAATATTGAAGCACAATCCCATGTCTTTAAGTGCTATTCTGAGAAGGCTCCACTCTTTGTCCTCATTTCCCTCCATGCACTGCTTGGATTTGTTTCATCATTTTAATCACCCCCTTGCCTACACCTTCCACTCCCTCCCTGGGTACATCCAACCCTTAGCCTCACCTGAGTAGCTGAAAATAGCTGGCAGAAAAAAAAACTTAAACCAACACAAGATGCCTTTTGATGTTCTTGTACAGGGTGTGTGGTTATTGCCTTATCCTACTGACAGAACAGAAAAAGAGAGTCCTCCACTACTTCTCTGAACTGAAGATTTTAAGGTTTGATCAGAACATTTAAATATCTAACGCACATAGTTAGCCTTCCTGAAGTGCTCTGACAAAACACTCGGGATAATCATCTGGTCAGCTGAAGCTGCTAACTAGGGAAAAACATTCTTCTTAAATTAAAAACAACAACAACAACAACAACAAACAGGGCTTATTTGAAACTTAGAACATCAAATAAGTGATTACACTGATATTTTATTTATTTTAAAAAATGTTTTATTTATCCATGAGAGATACAGAGAGAGAGGTAAACTCCCCAAGGAGCCTGATGTGGGACTCAATCCCAGGACTCTGGGATCATGACCTGAGCCAAAGGCAAACGCTCAACCACTGAGCCGCTCAGGTGTCCTTATACCAGTATTTTAAACATTCAGTTTAAGCAGTTTGGATATGTATATATTAGTCTGTCCATGCTATTATTTTTTCTTAGTAAATATATTCTTTTAAGATTTTATTTATTCATGAGAGAGAGAGAGAGAGGCAGAGACACAGGCAGAGGGAGAAGCAGGCCGCATGCAGGGAGCCTGACGTGGGACTAGATCCTGGGTCTCTAGGATCAGGCCCTGGGCTGAAGGCGGCGCTAAACCGCTGAGCCACCTGGGCTGCCCTTAGTAAATATTTTCTAGGTGGTAGAAAGGAAAAATTAAACTGAATCCGGGTTCTTTTCCTAATCAGTTGAATTCATTCATTCATTCCATCAATATTTCTTGCGTGAGCACTATGAATGTGATAAGATGGCAGAGGCATAGAGTTGTTTATTATAAAATTCATGTAATGTTTGCATTCTCTGTGGAGATAGGAACGCCACCTGCCTTACACACAGCTGTATCCCCAGAACTCCGCATCATGCCTTATATGTGAGAGGCACTCAACGACTGGAGAGAGCTATTTCCACTGACCAAACCACAAGAATACTTGGAGGAAACTGGGATGGGTTGATCCAGCCCCCTGGTGACAGGGCTACAAGAGTTAGAAAGGTGATGGAGATTCTATCAGGAAAAGGAAATGGATAGTCCAAATATGTATAAAATTCATGGAACAGCTCTCCCACTGTCCTTAGGATATATTAAAAACACCCGGTGTTGTGTTAAATTGGGTAGGGTAAAGCTAAGCTTCCAGATTGTGGTGATGTCACACATTGGGACAATTCCTGAGAGAAATGAAAGCTGCTTCTTTCTATCTTTAGTATCTCTATATTTCTATGGCTGACATATTTGCAAACAGTGATAAATGCAGGGTGAGAGACCCTTTTGGGGCATGGCTTGAGCATAAATAAGCAAAGGGCTGATGAAAGTTTGATTGCTTCAACTTACAAAAAAATGGACTTCATTTCTTAGAGTAGTTTTAGGTTTACAGAAAAATTGAATAGAAAGTACAAAGAGTTCCCATATACTCCCCACCTCCACAGTTTCTTCTGTGTCTTCCATTGGTATAGCATATTTGTTACAACTGATGTCACAATTGATGGATACATTAGTTTAAACTAAAGTCCATATTTTACATTAATATTTACTCTGTGTTATACAAGTCTATGGATTTTGCCAAATGGATAATGACTGCCTCAATTTTTATCAAGCATAAGGGTTCAAGATTAGAAGTTTTGTAGAATGAACAGGTGAGAAACCAATATAGTTAAAAAATCAATTTGTGCAATAAAATGATTTAAATTATGTGGATTGGCACTGTATTATTTAATAGGTTTTTACTTTGTAATGTACTTATAAAAGTAGATTTATGAGTAAATGTTCACTTGTTATACTTGTATGGTTAGACTTATTTAAATAAATGAATAAAATGATCATAAAACACTTTGGAAATATTTTATGATAATGAGAGTATTGCCCTCACATTTAGTCAAAGATGTAATGACAAGAAGAAAATTCTCCCCGTTTTTTCAAATCTGGTAATCACTGGGTATGCGGACATTTTAGGCATCATTGGTCTACTGTTTGCCATGCATCTTGGCACATGGGCAGTGTATAAAAAAATTAGCTATTGATTATGATTTTAAGTTCTCTAATACTAGAGGTATTAAATCAAGTTTTGATCCCTGAAAATGAGAGAGGAGCTTAGAAAAAAAATCTGTTCATTTTTGCATAAGAAGTTGGTGAGGCAGTTCTTTGAAATTAAAGAATCTTAGAAATAGAAAGGAAGTAGAGCATCTAGTGAAGCTTATTAACCCAAATTATGAATCCCTTTTATATCACTTGTATTCAGTGGGCCTCCAGTTTAGATCTGTAGTAGGAATGGGAACACAATTCTTGTCGAAGTAGCCTTTTCCGTGGCTTCAACTGTTCAAAAAGTTTTCATAAGCTAAACCTGAACTTTTCCTTTTTTAACTTCTACCT